CAGATGCCCAACTCGACGATCAGCAAGGGGATCATCCCGTACTCGCCATCCGCATGGCGCCATGCAGCGTGTTCGATTTACGCTCACCGCACCATGCGGAGATTCACTCTACAACGGTAGTGAGCTAGACTACGGGGGTTGGCACGAACTTCTGGGAGTGATCGAAGCCTTGCCTGGTTCCTTAGTGCTTGCACAATCACGGGAGAAATTGGCAAGAGTTTCCACTAGCAAAGTTGGAATTCCACAATTGTTGAACAAGCAATGACAACAATGACTACATCAGGCACCTAGTAATCCTGCAGCTAGCCTGGTCGACAGACAGCACAGCATGGTCGACCGCCTGCCAGCGTTGCGTAGAGGAGCCGCGCCAGCACTGCAGAAAGGCGACCTGCCAACACAGCAGGTCGACGGTGTGCCAACGCTGCAGCAGAACGACTGTCCAGCGTTGCCCCGTATAAGACAGCAGTGCGCACGCTCGCAGATGCGCGCAGACGATTGGCCCGACTTGCACCATTGTGCATTCGTCGGCTGTTGTCTGCGCCTGACGAGCCACATCAACTTCGGGATACCAACCCGAAGTCGCCTTCGCCATTGCGACCTTGACGACGATTGCGTGCCTCCGCAGAGCTCGCCGAGCAGGTTACCCGGTCGACCTGGACAACCCCAAGTGCCTCTGGTCGACCACCGGGTCCCTCTGGTCGATCACAGCTCCCGTCGAGCTACCCCCTGGTCGACGGACCCCTTCCGTCGACCAGAACTGTCAGCTGTTGTCGACGAGCTCCCCTCGTCGACCGCTGCTCACTTCTCAGGTCGACGGACTGCTCCGTCGACCTCCCGGTCGAACAGCCCCTCCTAGTCGACGGCCCACCCATCGCCCAGACCAGTTAGTTGCAGCTATCGAGCTCCCTAGTCGACAGCAACACGACAGCGGTCCCCTGCACCTCGACGAAGCCTGTCGAGCAGCTCTCCCACTGTGGATTGTCGGCTGCTACTCCCGTACATCCGACCAAGTCGTCGGCGTTGCCCAAGCGAGGGCGCGGCCAACACTTCACTCCCATTAACAGTGACAGTACGGACGGACCACGAATCTCTACAGTACCTCCGCGCACAAACCCACCTCAACCCACGACAAATCCGCTGGCTCGACTACCTCGAGTCGAATTCTCACTTCACGGTCACCTACAAAAAGGGGGCATTGAACATCGCCGATGCATTAACCCGGCCCACAGCCCAACTCCACGCCATACTACTCGCCCAGACCAGCCCCCTGCTGACAGGCCTATTTACCCACGGTTACCAGACTGACCCATTTTTTACAGGCGGAAATTCGCAGCAATTTGCAACGGCAAGAGGGGTCTATTACGTAAAAGCGGGCACTGATCGCATCTGGGTAGCGGGCTACACGCTCCTACGGGAATTACTGTTGCAAGAGGCACACGACGGAGTCACCTCATGACATTTCGGAGTAGAAAAAACACGGCAGCAGCTGCAGCGGTATTATTATTGGCCCGAAATGCTGACCGACGTGCAGCGACACGTGGCATCGTGTCCCACCTGCCAAGTCATGAAATCATCACGGAAGCGACCGGCATGACAGTTCCAGCCGATACCACCCCCAGAGCGTGCTTGGCAGCAGGTGACGTTGGACTTCATCACGGGGTTACCGGCGGGAGCAAGTGGGAACGACGCGATCCTGGTCGTCGTCGATCGGCTGACGAAAATGGCACATTTCGCAGCCTGCAAAAAAACAATCACAGCCGAAGAAATGGCCCGCCTCTTCATCGCAACCATCTTTCGATTACACGGGATACCAGCAATAATCATCAGCGATCGCGATACAAAATTTACCAGCAATTTGTGGAGGAACCTATGGCAGCAGTTCGGCACGAGACTACAGTTCAGTTCTTCGTACCACCCCGAGACCGACGGTAAGACAGAACGGACAAATCAGACCATGGAACAGTTGATCCGAGCCACATGCGACAACCCGACCACCTGGGAGCAGCAACTGCCCCTCATCGAATTCGCGTACAACAACTCACCATCCGCCACGACCCAACAGTCACCGTTTTACCTGAACTACGGACAAGACCCTACAGTACCCATGACCCCAAGTCCCGACAACCCAGTACCACGTGCGCAACAATTCGCATAAATATTACAGGCAGCACGAACCAGGGCAACTGAGGCAATAAAAAAAGCCAACGTCATCGCTAAGCGCAACGCCTACCGCCACCGCAGGCCCGTCACTTACCAGCCCGACGACTTAGTTTTACTCGACACTCAAAACCTCCGCCTGCCCATAACCCCGAAACTCCGCCCCCGATACTGCGGGCCATTTCGCATCAGCCACATGATCACACCTGTCACCGCCCACCTCCTCCTCCCTGCTGACTGGTACGTCAGCACGTCCTTCCACGTCAGCCTGCTTCGCCCCTACATCCCATCCACCAGCCAACTGGCCCGAAATCGCCCAGCCATCATGACACGACCACCGTCAGAACCAGTCATCACGCCCGAGAAAATTCTGAGCCACCGAGTTCGTGACCCACGAGGAGCTCGAAGGGTCGAATTCCTGATCCGTTGGAGAGACCGCACGCCCACCGAGGACAATTGGATTCCACCGGACAAAATCGAAAACCACCCCGTCCTCACCGAGTATCTGCGCAGCCGGAATTTCCAGGATATACACGCGCTCTCGTAAGAGAGGCCTCCTTGAGGGGGGGGGGGTAGTGTAAGGAAAATCCCTTTCCCTTACTTCGCGTCCCTGCTAAGCGCGTACACCACTGTTCCCGCCAACAACACCCCACAATATTCCGTTACCACTCGCGACATTCGCCTCGACACCATTCCCGCCACTGTTCACGATGCGACCCAACCTCACGGTTCGGTTGGTAACCCGCGCTCCGGACCTCTGCCTCGACAGTCCCCCAACCTCGGCACCAGGCCCGTCGCGCACCCCATTTTTCACACGTTACCGTTACCACCGTAGCTTCTCTATATATTCTTAGCTCAATCCTTCGCTCATTGTATCTTGTCTAGATAGTGCAATCCTCGCTCGCTCACTCAATTGCACTCGTAACAAAGCGCAAATGTACCTGTTTCGGTTTCGCAACAGTGTGGGTGTTCCCCCGCTGTCTTCACGAGTCAACCCCGCCATAATCCCAATCCAACCAAACCCGCCTGCAATTGAGAACACTCACTCGTTGATGGATGTCGTTTCCGCTGCATCTGCATCCCGCCCGTCATCTCTCGATTCCCCAGTGGCCCCTCCCTTCACAACATCCCCGCACTCTCCGCCAGTCCGCCTGTTCGCCAGCTTTTCTCCCCCGCCTCTCTCCCTCGATATTACCCTCCCCCTTCCCCGCTCATCCCACCAAACCTCCCCCTTTTTTCAACATGCTCCCCGCCGCTTCCCCCGACCTGGTGGATCGTTCCGCCAACCCGCGCCAATTCCGCCAGCTCCATCCAACCCATCCATCCCTTTCCTTACCTGTCCAGCCAAAGCCTATCTGATTTCCTTGGTAAAAGAACAGCCATGGCTCCCAACACATCGGTTGTACCGTTTTCGTGCATTCCAAGGGTAGCCAGCTCTTATTGCTGTCTGGCTTCGCAGCGGAGGGTTACCTCGGGTCTCGCCACGTGGTGTTAGTATGTTCTTAGTCTCGCGTAGGTTTCGCGGGTTGAGCCAGTCTGACGTGTCAGGCTTTGAGGCCACGTGGTCTTTATCTGAAGGTAGAATACCAAGAGGCGTCAGGCGAACCTATATCTCCTCCATCGCAAGCTAACATGGAGTCACGCGCTTCGAGCACGCACTTGCTCTCCGCGTTGTTTCTCGACTCGGAATTGATTCTATAGTAAAAGGTTATGGCGCTATGAAGTATATCTGACGTTCCCGACGCGTGGTCTTGGCTTGAGCCGTTCATACCCTTACCAGAACCTAGTCATCAGCGCGCACACGCGACGACACGATGTTCTTCCTCCGTCTCGTGGTTTTCCAGCTGAATATCCGCCGACCATGTATCCTCCAACGAGAGCCCTACTCCTGCCGATGAAATGAAGCCGTATCTCTTAATTAAATAAATGGCCTTCAGCGCTCGTCAATTCCTGGTCGCAGTCTCCGACCAGTGCGGTCCAGTCCTGTCCAGTTCGGTTCAGTTCGGTTCTGGCCGACCACGATCATTCACCCTCTAGCATCTCACTCCATTCTTGCGCGCTTGTCCCTCGTTGCGAGGAAAGTAAGTCACCTGCAGACCGGTCATTGCTCGCTTACCAGCAATTTTCGACGCCCGGGTAGGTTTTCCGCCTTCCGCCGGCCTTTCCCGCCTTTCCCAGCCTTCTCCCCGCCTTCCCAACATTGTTCATGAGTTAGGCTCGGTACCGAACCAGCGAGTTAGACTCGGTACTGATCGAAGGTAGTAGAGTAGGGCTAGGTGTCGCCAGCTACGCTCACCAGCGAATTGAGGAGCCACTGGCGACGACCGCTGAACAGGCGAAGAAGAGGGTTACGAGCAGCAATCGAGCTACGGCGCTAACGACATTCGTGAGCGATCATGTTCTGCTGTTTCGCGCGGCCCAAGGCGGGCGACGACGACAATGTCAACGACGACTATGCGACGCCTGCGCCGCCCGCGCGGAACACCCCGCGGAAGCCCGCGCCTTCCGCCTCTTCCCCCGTCGGCGATGCCGGCGTGCGCGAATACGCCAGTAAAATGGCGGCCGCCGACGACCGCGTCGCCATGTCGTCAGTCGCCGTGTTACACGCCGCGCAAATTCGCAGCATTCGCTCGGAGAACGCCACTGGGATCAGCGGTGGCAGCGGCGCCGCCAGCGGAGGAGGAGGAGTAGGAGGAGGCGGCGGCGGTGTCGGCGGCGGAATCGGCATCACAGCAGCGCATGGCGGCGGCGGAGGTGGGTCGGGTCGGGGGGCTTCCCGAGATGCTTCGTCGAAGCCTCCTATAGCGACAGATAGAGGCAAGAGCCATATGGGGCCGGTAATCATGGCGGCTGGCCCGGGGCTAGGGTTTGGCGCATCGGGTATAGACATCAGACCAGGCAGCGGCGCAGGCGGCGCAGGCGGCGGTGGCGGAGGGGGAGGTTTAGATGAGCGGCCGAGCAGCGCGGGACCGACGACGATACAACAGCACATGCAGCACCACCAGCAGCTGCACCAGCACCAGCAGCACTATGCCGCAGCCGTGGGATCGCGCGCAGTGAATAGTGCCGGATCCGTATCGTATCTCAACGCCATGCCTGGGCGGCAGCGCATCGTGGCTTGGCTGGAAGAATCGGATCAGTCGTTTGCGACAGTAGACGAAACCACGAACGAGCCTGTGCGACTCAGGTCCCCGCGGGGTAAGCAGGCGGAAGGGGATGGGGAAAGCGGGCGGGACGGGAGCGCGGACGCAGCTGCTATGGAACGCCTGGGGCTCTTTCTTTCCAGCCTGCCCGCCGGGCAGTATGAAGACCGCGGCAGCCCCACGGCCGCGCCTCCGTCCGCCTCGGGGGAGTCCAGCGGCGGAGTTGGGGGCCCCAGCGGAGCGTGGAGCACGGGAGGCGGAGCGGGAGGCAGCAGCAGCACGGGGACGCACGGGCAGTCGGGTTATTCCGCCATGGCCACTGCGGGTTCAGGTGCTACTGGCCCGAGTTACACCAGTCCGGGTATTCCAGGGGGAGGTTTTACTGGTGCAGGCTTATCTGGGGCGCGCAGGGCTTCCCCGAATAACTCCAAGCGGGACCTGCTTCCGCCCCCCGTGGGGGGCCACAGCGGGGGGGCGGGGGGCGGGGGTGGGAGTGGCGGGAATCCATTGGGGGGAAACCCGATGGCGCGCACGCGGTCGAGCCAGGAGCCTGTGCGCCTGGTGCCGCAGATGGGCAGCGCGGAGGAGAGCGCGCAGGCGGGCGCTGCGCCTTCCCCCCTCCCCGCTACAGCAGGCTCGCTGGGGGCGGGACCTAGTGGGGCGGGGGGAGCCAGAGGCGCAGGTGTGCTGGCGCCGTCATTGAGCTTTGCCAATGGGGTTGGTTCAGGCACGGGGGCAGGGGGGGCTGGTGGCGCAGGGGTAGGGGCTGGGACAGGATTGGGTCCGGGGGCATCCGTAGGGGTTGGAGGTGGCACTGGCTCCGGTGCTGGTGGCGCTGGTGGAGCTGGTGGGGCGAAGGAGAAGGAGAGCCTTCGCGTGCAGGCACTGAGTAACGCCATTCGGCACAGCAGCCACGGCGGGGAGAAGGACAGAGACAGTCACAGAGACAAGGAGCTGCTGGGCCGTTCCACCACTCAGTACTCAGAAGAAGGGGGCTCAGCAGCAGCAGTAGCCGGATCAGCTGTTGCTGCCACTGCTGGGTTTGGTGGGAGCGCGAGAGGCTTGGGAGGGGGCTTTGCTTCGGACACAGCTTCGGATACGGCTGCAGGGCAGGTGCATATGAGGGATGGTAGCTTTCCCCCGTCTCCTGCTCCGGATAAGTCGTGGTATGCTGTCTCGCCATTGGTTGATTTTCACCCGGGATCCAGTCCACCGCCCCCTTTTATGCCCGGGCAGAGTCCGCTGAGAGATAGTGCTTTTAAGGTGCCCTTGCCTGCTGTGGGAGGGAATGGGGCAGGTAATTCCAGGCATGAGGGGTTAGGGGAGATTAGGACAGAGGATGGCCAGATAGGGGAGGGGGGTACTGGGGATGGAGACTTGTCTATGGATGGTGGGAAGGGAGGTGCAGCTGAGGGTTCTTCTCACGAAGAGGCTCCTTGTTCCAAGAGTATGAATTAGGGCTACTGCCTGCATTTCATGCCTTTGGAGGTGTGGAGATTGTGGAGATTGTTGTGCTGCACGGTAAGTCGTGAGTGCAGGGGTGAGGATTTTGCAAGGGGGATTGGTCTGTGGTAGAAGGAAAGAAATTATTACCGTATGTTGATTATATAGTGCATGTGAGCCCCATTAGGCAGATTATGTCTTCAGCTAGTCTCCCTATCCGCTAAATCCCTCTTGCTAGTAGTGTAAAACAATTTCATGAAATTGGAATGAACCACCATCGTGACTGACGAAGTCCACCACAAGCACCACCGTTTATACAGTCTCTCTAACCTCGTTCACCCATCAAGTGTAAACAATTGGGCAGCGAGGAGTGTGGGTAACTCTCCCTGCCTTTACCTTTACCACAAGCACCTACCAACAGACATCATTCCACAATTCGCAATTTGCCACACATCACGTAGGGTGGTCCTCTCAAGTAGACCAAGTGTTTTGCATTCGATGAAAATAGGGCCTGTATGATTGGTTTACAAATCTGGGGCCGAAGTGTTGTCAAATCGAAACTCGCCAAAGAACCCACTTTTCGCCCGTGTTTTGCAGTTGCACGACCAACCCGTGCATGAGACCCTGGCTTTGACCCGCCATTGCAGAGGACTAAGAGCGGGAGGGCCATTGCACTGGACTAAGAGCGGGAGGATGGGTGGGGGGGGGCAAAGGTTTTAGGGGAAACCCTCTTTGGTATTACCTTGGCAGTCGGTCGTAACCAAGAGTGGGAGGATGGGGGTGTGGTGGTTGGGGCTGGGTTGCTGGAAGCAAATCAGGGCAGGATTCGGAGGAAAATCGTCAATGCTTCTCTATTGGAGGGGGGACCGTCAATGGGCCACTGCTGCAGCCTCTTGCTGCTGTTTGATGTGGTTCCACTCCACAAGGCGGAAAGGTGAGGTGACTGGGTGGCAGTCGGACTGGCAGATGGATATGCTTTCGTTTTCGGTCGCCCTGCCATTTCAGGGTTGTTCTTTTCTCGGAGGTAAGATTCTACTCTTGCCGTTTTAGGGTTGGGGATGCACAGCACCGTTGAAGGTTGGGCGCCGTGAGAAGTATTCAGCTAAGCAGGAAGGATTCAATTTGAGAAGAGCATTTAGCTGTCCTACACTTCCATGTCTTTTTAGCCTGTAATCATCGATGTCTAACGACACATGGCTACTTACGCTAAAAGCGGGTTGGTCATTTGCCCCCCATGCAAGGATGTTTAGTTGGTACAGTATCGGCCAGTCCACAGCATGAAACCTGTACAGAGCGTCTGACTGAGCCCTAAAACGCCGAGAAAAAGCATCTGACCAGTTTCTGGTAACCTGCCGTTTTTGCAGGGTTCTGCCTGGTGGCAGGCAGGCACCGGATACAAATCTTTCTAGTGCCGAGCCGAACAACTGCTCAAGAAGAAAAAACAAGCGAACCGAAATGTCAACTTCCAGACCTGGCAGTTGCTCTGAGCTTCGGCACATGTATGAAAATACATTTCTGGTTCGGTAGTGCTTCGGGGTTCCCCGCACCTCATCGCCCAGGAGGGTCCTCTCAAAGGTGCAAGCAGGGAAAGGGAAACCCTCACTTCTTTCCACCCCTCCCCTCCCTCGAGTCCCCTCCCTCGAGTCCCCTCCCCTCCCCTCCCTCGCCTCGCCTCCTGCTGCCATTCCATCGAGAGAATCGCTCCAGGGTCTTGTTTGGTGATTCGCTCTTGCCCACGTGTCCCCGAATTGCTCGCGTGGCCATCCAATTCAGTGATAATTGCTCGAGTGGCCATGCCAGGGCATTTTCGGGTGTTTTTTCCCTGGCACATTACCCTACAAGAGTTCGTACCCCCGAAATTCCTCGTTCGCACAACAGTAGATGCGCGGTCATTTTCGGCCCAATGCGCGACCAATGAGCGCGTGGGCAAATACATCAGCGATCATAAACTGCAACGCCGGAGCATAAATGCACGAACCTATTAGTGACTGCGCACGATTGGTTGATAATATGCTTGTTGCCCTTTTTGGCAATGCGCGTCCAATCACACACTGTCATATAGTTCCCGACCATATATTTAGGTGATAAAAGGTCGCCCAACAACCAATATGAGCGCGCATATACTACCATTAATTCTATCATATGTCCGGTCCATATAAAACCATATATATCAAATATCATAAATATATTCTTTGCTATTACTTTAAGCCCAACATAACCCCGCGTGTTTCAGCAAGAGTGGGTGGAGTGGGACCGCGCAGAAGGCACTCTTGCTTGTCTTACCGAGGTCTTTCATATCACTCTTGATGTCACTCATGGCTCCACTGCAAATAAATGCAGGCGTATTCATGACCTGCGTTAACCAGTGTTAGAGTAGTTTTAGTAGATCAAATGGTTGACATTATTGTCCGATTGATTCGAGGTTCTCTTGAGTTGTGCGGTGCAAGAACTGTGTAAGAAATAGCGAGAATAGATGAATGGAGGTGTCAACAGACTGCTAATATAATATATATTTACTTCGCAGATGCTGTACTGGGCCAGCAGCGCGCGTCGAGGATTCATTACTTTGAAAGGAAGAGTTTCGAGTTCGTTCAAAGTCGCCACATTTCAAATTTAAAATCTTCAGCGTTCTGACGATCCTCCAGCGTCCCCGCTTTCTGGAGCAAAGCCGGAACATTCTGTTTCAGCAAGTTTTGACCGCAGCGAGTCGGACCCCTGCGCCGTCGCACGCACCTTGCGTCTACCAGCCATAGTGAAACAATCACGTCAGATGACCGTTTTGGGCTTTTCAAATCTTAACACGTACATTCGACAATGATTCGCGCTTACACTAACAATGACATTACACGATCCGACGCGGGCTTCTAGTGGTTGAAATAGAGACACTTAGCAATGACCCACGCTTACCTTACCCTGACGATGGCGCTAGACCAATGGTTGCGGCCTTCTTAATTACTAATACGGACACTGTACAATGACTCACACTTACACTGACGATGACATTAGACTACCCGTTACAGACAGTCTACAATGACCCACACTTACACTGACGATGACATTACACTACCCGGTACAGACACCCTACAATGACTCACACTTACACTGACGATGACATTAGCCCGTCCAGAGTGCTCAACCGCGTGTGTAAGTCGGAGCCGCGAATCACGGTGCAACCGCCGTCCGTGCTGATGATGCACTCTAGAATCCTGCAGCAGCAGCAGCAGCAACAACAACTACCACTACCAGAAGAGGATAGCGAGCCGAGATATTACCAGTCGCCGGACAGTCTGCCAGATGGCATGTCGTCCGTACGATCCATGATGAACCCAGGAATCGACGGTTCTGGGAGAAGCGGGGGGGGCGGCGGCTCGGGCCAGCGCAGTCCAGCTATTCCGCGATCGTCGCGGTCCGTTGGCGGAATTGGAATCGCCGCCTTTGGCGGGGGGAAAGGGGGGCGGAGTAGCGGAGCGGTAGGGATGACCTCCGGCGTGTTAGGAAGCTCTGGCGGTGCGGCTGGTTCTGACGAAGCGCGGCTTTATGATCCATACGGAGGCGCGGACGCGGCTTTTGGAAACGAGTGGGAAGCTGCCGAACCTGGCAAGGCGTCTCGGCGAGCAGCTTCGGACGGCGAAGCATCTGGTTTTGTTTCCAAACCTTCGAGTTTGATCCGGTCCCGAACCTTAGACGCAGATACGCTATGCGGGGAGGACGACGACGACCCTAATAACGCAGGCTCGGGATCTTCCCCAAGCAGGCCGTCAGGTCCGGACGGGCCGGTTGGGAATCCACGCCGCCGAACCGAGCGATCAGGTGCGGGAAACAGACCTGGAACAGGGTCGTACCTGCCGATATACCGACAGATTGGCGTTCCCCGTAGTTCCTCGCACGACCCAGCGAGTCTGTTCGTGCAGAAGCAGCATCACGCCGGGTTCACCGGGCAGGAGTGGGAAGAAGCTCTTAAAGACGGCAGCGGCGGGGACAGCAGCGGACCGCCAAGCGGCGGAACGAGCTTCGGGCGGAGCAACAGCGGAGGGGGCGGGGGAGGGGGAGGAAGGGCGGCAGGGAGCGCAGTCCCGCGCGGAGGCGGCGGAGCCTTGGGAATGCCGAGAGGCGGAGCTGGTGCGTCGCCGTTTTCCATTCAGGGGAAGGTGGTATCCGGGGCAGGGCGATCTATGATGATGCCTCCGCGCAACTCGTCCGTCCCCGCGTCGTTGCCCACGCATAAAGGCACCGCCACGGGGCTGCAAGACTCCGCGCGCGGAGGCGGCGGAGCCGGCGGAAGGCAGCTCCGCGCGTTCGCGTCCGCCGCGCCAGGGCGCATGGACGGCCCCGCCGCCCTGGGGTCGGAGCTGGGCCGGCGCGACTCGTACAATCTGATTCTGGACCAGTTTCTGTCAACAGACGGAAACGCTAGCGGCCCAGATTCGCCCGGTATGGGAATGGGGCCGGAGGAGAGGAGGGGACCGGCCGAAATTGGCGCGGGGGTGGAGTTACGTAGGGTTGTAACGACGGGGAGGCAGCAGAGAGCGGAAAGGGGTGGAGCGGATGTTTTGGTGGTAGAGAGCGGTGGAGATGGTGGGAACGCGGACGGGAGTGTGCACGGCGGAGGCAGGATGCATGGAGGGATTCGGCTGCATGGGAGTAATAGTTTCCATGGGCATCCCAGCAGTGGTGGTGCTGGTGGTGCTGGTGGTGGGGGTTACGATGGCAATAGCAGCACAACAGCAACCACTGCCCCTGCTGCTGCTGGTGCTGCTGGTGGTGTTGCTGGTGGTGCGGCTAGTGCTGCTCCGTCAGCAATAAGCCACTCCTCCTACCCCGCGCACCACCCAGCCTATAGGCAATTCCCCCGTTCCTCCAGTGATAGCGGGAGAAAATCCTCCCCCAGTCGTCGGAGCCCTAGCAGCAGCCCCAGCCACGGCGTGGGGGGCATAGGCGGAAGCAACCTTGCGCCTCCCCCGCTAGTCTCCCCCCACCATCACCTGGACGGGGGGCCGGGGCTGGGTATGGGGGCGCATAGCGCCGCGAGCAGCTGGACTGGCGGAGGGATGGGCGGAGGCGTTGTGGGGGGATTTGGGGGAGCAGCAGCAGCAGCAGGAGGAGGAGGAGCAGGGGCAGCAGGGGCAGGAAACGTTGTTCTGGCAGGGTTTGAGAAGCCAAGAGGGGTTTCGCCTACGAGAGGAGCCGGGTCTATGCTCGTAGCATCGTCGTCTGGTAGTCCCTTGCGCAATTCCTCCCCCTCCCGCCGAAGCCTCTCGACAGGTGGCACGTCGGGAATGGCTAGCTGGAAAGGCAGCAGCAGCAGCAGCGGCGCCAGCATGGGAAACAGCAGCAGCGGTGGTGGTGGCAACAGCGGTTTCATCAGCAGCAGCAGTGGCAGCAGCAGCAGTGGAGGGTCGGGGCCTGGACGAGGCACCAGCACAGGAGGCAGCCACAGTGCCAGTTTCCCTATCAAGCAGTCTTCTGGCAGCCCTCCGTTGTTATCACAACAGGCACAGTCACAATCACAGCAGCAGCCGCAGCAGCAGCAGCAGCAGCAGCTGATGCGGCAGCCACCCCTACAGCCGCTGCCACAGCCGCAGCCCTCGCGGTTGGCGGGAGCAGGGGGAGGGAGTATGGCTGGGGGCGGGGGCACAGGGCACAGGAGAGGGAAGAGTGAATACGCCCTAAGTTCAGGGAAGAGACTCTCGCGGCAGAGCTCAGGATCGGTGGGAGAGGGCACGGATTACAGCAGTAGTTTTGAGAGTTACTCCACTGCTGCTGGCGCTGACGTGGCACGAGATGGCACGGATGGGGACTCGGACAACGGGCAGGTGAACGGGCAGCGGAAAATTCGGGGGCAGGCGCCGGGAGGGAGTGGGAACGGGAGGCAGAAGCACAGACGAGCTGTTAGCGATAATGAGTGTGCTCAACCAGGGGAGGTGGAGTCTGGGGAGGGGGAAGAGGGGGGGAGAGGGGGTGTGGGGGAGGGATGGGCGGATGGACAGGCGGAGAGGGGCATGGGAGGGAGAAGAGGGGGCGGAGAGGATGGAGCAATGCATGGGGGCGGTTGGGGTGAGGGGGGTGAGGAAGAGGGGGCAGATGTTGGGGAGATTTCATTTGGGCGGCAGCAATCAGTGGCGGAGATAGGGAATTGCGGAGGTATGGGAGGAGGGGGAGGGCAAGAAGTCGAGGGGGGAGAGGAAGGCGAGAGTGACTCAGGCAGTGTGGTGGAGTGGGCTTTAGCAGGGTCGCCCCAGAGCATCTCGGCTGTAGCCGAGGCGGCAGAGGGGGGGCGGGGAGGTGGAGGGGGGAGGGAGGCGGAAGGAAGCTTCCTGCGCAGAGGCAGCGGCGGTAGAGCAGTAGCAGCAGCGCCAGCAGCAGCAAGGGCGGGAGCAGGGGGAGCAGCCGAAGGTGGCTTGGGTAGAGCTACAGGCGGAGGAACAGGTGGGGGCGGTTTAGCTGCAGGAGAGGGGGAGGGCGCATCTGGAGCAGGCGCATCTGCAGCAGGCGCATCTCATCTCGGTTGGGGCGGCTTTCCGCGTCTCAACCTGGAGATTGCGAGCCTTCAGTCATTCTCAGATGAGGAGAACCCCAGTAACCGGAGTGTGGGATCGCTGCAGGGCATGGGCAGTGGGCGGGGTGTGGGCGGCGAGCAAGGCATGGGAAGCGAACAGGGCATGGGCAGTGGGCGGGGTGTGGGCAGTGAACAGGGCATGAGCAGCGCTCAGAGCAGCTTACTGAACAGCAGCTTGGGAAAAGGAGGGGGCGGAGGGTCTGCAGAGGGTGCGAGGCGGTGGGGGGTAGAGGTGGGAAGGGGAAGGGGGAGGGAGAGGCGGGGCAAGGGGAAGAGGGGGGTTAGGTTCTACCCTGAATTGAGGTCTCCGTTGGGTAGGCGAGGGTCGGTGAGTGGGAGAGTGGAGACGCCGCGAGGGGTGGTGGGGAGAGGTGGGAGGGAAAGGAGAAGCAGAGGAGTGTATAGGTGCAGGCATTGTCGGGAGGAAGAAGAGGAGGAGGGGGAAGAGGATGGGGAGGGGGAGGAGGTGGAGGAGGAAGAGGAGGAGGGATGTGAAGAAGGGTGTGTATATGCGGATGGGGGAAGGGCCGGCAGGGAAGGGGGGTGGAGGAAGAAAGAGGAAGGGAGGGTGTTCAGTGGGAGGGTGTTCAATGTGTTACGGAGGCCCATGAGGGCAGTGGGCAAGCAGTATGCGTTGACTGCGGACGACTGGCTTGACTACGACCCCCCTGGAGATGCTCTGCTGAGAAGATGTGTGCACCGTGCGTCTGGGAGTCTGTTCACCTGCCGCACCATTTCCAAGCAGAGCATTCGGGTGAGTGGATGAGCAGGTGGGGTTATCAATGTGTTGCGGCGGCCCATAAGGGCAGCGGGCAAGCAGTATGCGTTGACTGCGGACGACTGGCTTGACTACGACCCCCCTGGAGACGCCTTGTCGAGGCGATGTGTGCACCGTGCGTCCGGCATCCCTCTTACATGCCGCACCATCTCGAAGCAGAGCATTCGGGTGAGTGGAAGCACGCACAAACAATGGTGGGAGTATCTAGTTTTGAGACGTCTCAAAAGCAGAGCATTCGGGTGAGTGGAAGCACGCACAAACAATGGTGGGAGTATCTAGTTTTGAGACGTCTCAAAAGCAGAGCATTCGGGTGAGTGGAAGCACGCACAAACAATGGTGGGAGTATCTAGTTTTGAGACGTCTCAAAAGCAGAGCATTTGGGTGAGTGGAAGCACGCACAAACAATGGTGGGAGTACCTAGTTTTGAGACGTCTCAAAAGCAGAGCATTCGGGTGAGTGGAAGCACGCACAAACAATGGTGGAGTATCTAGTTTGAGACGTCTCAAATTTTTGAGAAGTCTCAAAAGCAGAGCATTCGGGTGTGTGGAAGCACGCACAAACAATGGTGGGAGTATCTAGTTTTGAGACGTCTCAAAAGCAGAGCATTCGGGTGAGTGGAAGCACGCACAAACAATGGTGGGAGTATCTAGTTTTGAGACGTCTCAAAAGCAGAGCATTCGGGTGAGTGGAAGCACGCACAAACAATGGTGGGAGTATCTAGTTTTGAGACGTCTCAAAAGCAGAGCATTCGGGTGAGTGGAAGCACGCACAAACAATGGTGGGAGTATCGCTCATCACCCCCAGGCGGAGGACATCGGGGTGGAGGTGGCAGTGTTGGAGGTGCTGCAGCCGAGGAGGCTCAAAATCACCCCTCTCCCTCTCACTCACTCTCTCCCTCTCGCCCTCTCCCTCTCACACGCCCCTCCCCCTTTCCCTCCCTTCACCAGTCGCAGCAGCAGGCGGAGGCCATCGGGGTGGAGGTGGCAGTGTTGGAGGTGCTGCAGCCGAGGAGGCTCAAAATCACCCCTCTCCCTCTCACTCACTCTCTCCCTCTCGCCCTCTCCCTCTCACACGCCCCTCCCCCTTTCCCTCCCTTCACCAGTCGCAGCAGCAGGCGGAGGCCATCGGGGTGGAGGTGGCAGTGTTGGAGGTGCTGCAGCCGAGGAGGCTCAAAATCACCCCTCTCCCTCTCACTCACTCTCTCCCTCTCGCCCTCTCCCTCTCACACGCCCCTCCCCCTTTCCCTCCCTTCACCAGTCGCAGCAGCAGGCGGAGGCCATCGGGGTGGAGGTGGCAGTGTTGGAGGTGCTGCAGCCGAGGAGGCTCAAAATCACCCCTCTCCCTCTCACTCACTCTCTCCCTCTCGCCCTCTCCCTCTCACACGCCCCTCCCCCTTTCCCTCCCTTCACCAGTCGCAGCAGCAGGCGGAGGCCATCGGGGTGGAGGTGGCAGTGTTGGAGGTGCTGCAGCCGAGGAGGCTCAAAATCACCCCTCTCCCTCTCACTCACTCTCTCCCTCTCGCCCTCTCCCTCTCACACGCCCCTCCCCCTTTCCCTCCCTTCACCAGTCGCAGCAGCAGGCGGAGGCCATCGGGGTGGAGGTGGCAGTGTTGGAGGTGCTGCAGCCGAGGAGGCTCGAAATCACCTCTCTCCATTTCACTCGCGCTCGCCCTCTCATCGCTCTCTCCCGCACGCCCTCTCATCGCTCTCTCCCGCACTCACTCTCCCTTTCTCGTGCTCCCTCTCACCCCCCCCGCCACCCTCACCAGTCGCAGCAGCAGGCGGAGGCCATCGGGGTGGAGGTGGCAGTGTTGGAGGTGCTGCAGCCGCATGATCACATCATTGGGCTCCGAGACAAGTTTGAGAGCCTCACGGTGAGTATTATTGCCACATTGAGTTGAGACGCCTCAGAACTGGACGGGCTGCTGGGAGACCGTCGGGCAGGGAGATGTGTCAGTGTTCCACTGGGAGAAGAACCTTTGTGAACCACTGTAAACAGTTTTCTTTGTTGCCCCATTCTGCCTCGCTGACCCCCTCTCACCTTTCCTCTCATCCCCCCCCCACCCTCCCCCCTCCCGCCAATCCATGCATCTCATTGTATACCCCATGGTGTCCCTCTTTCCGCAGGACCGAATGTGCTAGCACTGCTGTGGAAAGTGGGTGGCAGAGGCTCTGCCTCCTCACACCCCCCTGCATAACTTGTGCCAACAACCCTGTGGAAAGTGGGTGCCAACAACCCCTAATTCATCCCAACGGCCCCTCCACCCCCTTTCCCCCTAAACATCACCCCCATGGCGCCTCTCTTCTCCATGACTGCATGCGGCACCACAGCCACAACTCTTGACATGCCTAAATCATTCATCTCCTTCACCCTGCCTCCCCACCCCCACCCAATGATCCTTCTCCCCTATCCCCCCCCTCCCCCCCCACCAGTCGGTGCATCTGATTCTAGACCCCTTATCGCGCCTCTCTCTGCATGACCGCATGCGCCAGCACGGCCCCATCCCTCAGCACCACGCTGCACCGCTCTGCCTCGCGCTGCTGCACGCGCTGCACCACTGCCACTCCCAGGGGGTGGCCCACCGAAACCTCACGCCCCACGCTGTCGTGTTCCCTGCTGACGACAGCCCGCTGGGGGATGCCAGGCTGTGTGGGTTCGAGTGCGCTGCGTTTGTCACCCCTGGTACGACCCCTTCACATCGCACCAGACTGTAGCAGCAGCGGCAGTCCAGTCAGTCTGTAGCTTCAGTTCAGGTAGACAGTTTATAGCAGTGGCGGGGTGGACCACCGCAGCCTCACGCCCCACGCTGTCGTGTTCCCTGCTGGCGACAGCCCGCTGGGGGATGCCAGGCTGAGCGGGTTCGAGTGCGCTGCGTTCGTAACTCCAGGTACATCTCACCTGTACCAGGCTGTAGCAGCAGTCATGCCAGGCTGTAGCAGCAGTTATGCCAGGCTGTAGTAGCAGTCAGTGGGTCTCACCCAGTGAGTCGCACCCCTGTAGTAACGAAATTTTGAGACGTCTCAAAACTAGTGGCAGTCAGTGGGTCTCACCCAGTGAGTCGCACCCCTGTAGTAACGAAATTAAAGTCATTCTCACCCACAATGTCCCCCCAGCATCTCATGCACACTGTCTCCCTCCCCCTTCCCCAGGAGTCTCCTTCTCAGACCCAGTGACGCCCCCCTTGTTTGCAGCACCCGAAGTGCACACAGGGATGTACGGGCACACAAGCCGACCTCTGGTCTCTGGGGGTCCTCCTCTTCCTCCTCTCCTCTGCTGGCTGCCCTTCAACCATCCCATACACACTGCTCTACCCGTCCCCTCCCCCTCACCCTCCTGCTCCGCCTGCCTCACCCACTCCCCTCAACCCTCCCGCTCCCCCTCCCTCCCGTTCCCAGGAGTCCCCTTTTCAGACCCAGTAACATCGCCCTTGTTCGCAGCACCCGAAGTGCACGCGGGGATGTATGGCACACAGGCCGACCTCTGGTCTCTCGGGATCCTCCTCTTCCTCCTCCTCTGCGGAGTGCCGCCCTTCTGGGCGGCCACGGGCGGCGGGATTCGGCGCGCAGTGCAGCAGCAGCAGGTGGCGTTCCTGTCTCCCAGGTGGAAGGACGTGTCAGATGAAATGAAGCAGCTGCTGCTGATGCTGCTCGAGAAAAACCCTTCAGACCGGCTCACCGCAGCCGAGGCTCTAGGTATGTGCATCTGCATGTGAGGAGTTTTTTCCTGTGCCCTCTAGGTTGGATTCCTCAGGGCTTTGATAGAGGTGGGGATTCGGCGCGCAGTGCAGCAGCAGCAGCAGCAGGTGGTGTTCCTGTCGCCCCGGCTGACAGCTGCTGATGCTCTAGGTGAGTGCGTGCGCTGTTCTGTGTCTGAAGCTCTATTTGTGTGTGTCTGAGGGGGTGTTGATGTGGTCTGTAAATGAAGAGCGCCTGCTGCTGCTGCTGCTGCTGCTGCTGCTGCTGCTGCTTGAAAAGGACCCCGCAGAGCAGACTGACTCACAGCTGCTGAAGCCCTGTGTGAGTGCATTGTTTGGCGTCTAGTCTCCAAGTGAATGTGTTTAAGGTGCTTTTCAAGGCGCCTACAAATGGGTTGTCTGGCGTCTAGGGTCCAAGTGAGTGAGTGTGTTTGGATTTTGACCGTGAGGCTCTTTCTAAGTGGTGTAGCAACTGAGGCATTACAGGTACCATTCCGTTTCTGTGGTTGATATCACCTGCAGCTTTTGCTTATGCTGTTTGCTTGTTTGTTTTTTGAGTCGACTCAAAAGTCATATCACCTGCAGCTTTTGCTTATGCTGTTTGCTTGTTTGTTTTTTTAGTCGACTCAAAAGTCATATCACCTGCAGCTTTTGCTTATGCTGTTTGCTTGTTTGTTTTTTGAGTCGACTCAAAAGTCATATCACCTGCAGCTTTTGCTTATGCTGTTTGCTTGTTTGTTTTCTGGTTGCCTCGTTCTTTCCCGCTAACGGGTCTGCTTGTGTGATGTGACTGTTTTGCAGAACATCCGTTGTTCACACGGGTGGCAGCATCAGAGGCGGGTACACCATGATTCGTGAGACAACTTTTGAGATGTCCCAAAAGGCGGCATCAGAGGCGGGTGCACCATGATTCGTGAGACAGACTCGTGGCTCGTCTCATCTTCACTCGCCTGCTCTTGATCCATGCGACGCACCACCACCTGAAGTGTATTACTATTACTGTAACTAATTCACTGTAGTGTGCTTGCTTATGCAACTAACATAACATAACACCAACATGGTGTGTAGAACTGTGCGCCGTTGTAACATATTGATGTGAAAACTGGAGGTGGAAGATCTTAAACTTGGATAAGAGCAGGCTAGGTTCTCAGTTCATGGATGGGAAAACGTACTGAACCAGGACAACTCTTACACTTCATTGCAACAACGTTTCACAAATCCAAATGTACAACAAAAGCCAGCGTAGTTTTGAGCTAAACATGCTTTTGTCATGTGAAAGATCCTTTTTGTCAGGTGAGGCGGTTAGCACGTGCATTACTAACCCTGCTGGCGCGACTAGCACGACTAGCACGACTAGCACGGCTGGCACTGCTGCTGTTGCTGTGAGCGCTGAACTTGCTGTGAATGAAGCCGATGCCGTGAATGCCCGACCCACCACCACCACCACCGTTGCTGTCACCCCCTCCATTGCCACACCCGCAGCAGCAACAGCCGTTGCCGTTACCATTGCCATTGCCATTACCGTTCCCGTTGCCATTGCCATTGCCATTGTCATTTCCGTTGCCGTTGCCATTACCATTCCCATTCCCGTTGCCGTTCCCGTTCCCGTTTCCGTTGCAGCAGCAGCCGTTGCCGTTGCCGTTCCCATTGCCATTGCTGTTGCCGTTCCCGTTGCCATTGCCATTGCCATTGCCGTTGCAGCAGCAGCAGCAGCCATTGCCGTTGCCGTTGCCGTTGCCGTTGCCGTTGCCGCTGCCATTTCCGTTCCCATTGCCATTGCCGTTCCCAATTCCATTCCCGTTCCCGTTGCCGTTCCCGTTCCCGTTGCAGCAGCAGCCGTTGCCATTGCCGTTGCCGTTGCCATTGCAGCCATTGCCATTGCCATTGCCATTGCCGTTGCCGTTGCCGTTGCCGTTGCCGTTGCCGTTGTCGTTGCCGTTCCCGTTCCCATTCCCGTTGCCGTTGCAGCAGCAGCCATTGCCATTGCCATTTCCGTTGCCATTGCCATTGCCATTGCCGTTCCCATTCCCGTTCCCATTCCCATTGCCATTGCCATTGCCATTGCCGTTGCCGTTGCCGTTGCCGTTGCCGTTGCCGTTGCCATTGCCGTTGCCGTTCCCGTTCCCGTTGCCGTTCCCGTTCCCGTTGCCATTCCCGTTCCCGTTCCCGTTGCCGTTGCCGTTGCCGTTGCCGTTGCAGCAGCAGCCATTGCCATTGCCATTTCCGTTGCCATTGCCGTTCCCATTTCCGTTGCCGTTCCCGTTGCCGTTCCCGTTCCCGCAGCAGCAGCAGCAGCAGCAGCAGCAGCAGCAGCCGTTGCCATTGCCGTTGCCATTGCCATTGCCGTTGCCGTTCCCGTTGCCATTGCCGTTGCCATTGCCGTTGCCATTGCCGTTGCCGTTGCCGTTGCTGTTGCAGCAGCAGCCATTGCCATTTCCGTTGCCATTGCTATTGCCATTCCCGTTCCCATTTCCGTTCCCGTTCCCGTTGCCATTGTCGTTCCCGTTGTAGCAGCAGCAGCAGCCATTGCCGTTGCCATTGCCGTTGCCATTGCCGTTGCCATTGCCGTTGTCATTGCCGTTGCCATTGCCGTTGCCATTGCCGTTGTCATTGCCGTTGCCATTCCCGTTCCCGTTGCCATTGCAATTGCCGTTGCCGTTCTCGCAGCAGCAGCCGTTGCCATTGCCATTGCCACCGTTCCCATCACCATTGCCATTGCCCCCATCACCCCCGAGAATGTGCAGCCACGAGGCCACATGCGACCAGATGCCACCAATGCCGCTGCCATTGCCATTGTCCCCGCCATTAGACCCATCCCCACCACCATTGCCACTGCCACAGCCACAGCAACAGCAACAGTCACAGCCTCCCCCCGAAGAAGGAGAAGGTGGGGGTGGGGGTGGGGGAGGGCTCATCCCTTCACCGCCACCAAAGCTGTTGGCAGTCTGGAGAGAGGCGAGGGGGTCAATGGGCAAGGGCTGTGGAGGGGTGGAGCTGAGCAGGCTGGTGGCAGTCTGAAGAGAGGTAGGAGAATCGACGGGCAAGGGCAAGGGCTGTGGGGAGGTGGAGCTGAACAGGCTGCGATGCCTGAAAACGAGCGACTGGGTTCCCATGGCGTCGCTTACAGCTTCAGTCACTGCGGCTTCACTTGTCGTGCCAGGTGTCCCTGCCAGCTTGTCATGAGATGCCACGGCCAGAGATGTGCCTGGTAGATACGCAGAGGGGGAGAAGAAGTGTTCAGGTGAGTTAGACGCAAGTGAGAAAAGCGTGTATACTATGATGACCAGGAAACTTATTACAGACCTAGAAGCACACGACAGTAAGAGCCAGAAAGTAAACGGATTTAAAGCTTGACATTATTCCGACAGGACGCATTTGGAAGGTAAGCTGAACTGAATCCGACTCACCGTAGAGAATCAGCGCGAAAACGACCGTTGGAAACAGCCAGACGAGGCGCAAGCGGAGGTTGGTTGACGCAGCGGGAGCCATGGCTGCTCTTTGAAATCACGAGCTCACTCTGAGTGATGTTCAGCTCAAATGTTAAGCTTACGCAGATTGCTCTTTGGCTCGAATGCAAGCTGAGCTGATCTGAACTGAAGAAAGACGCATTCCGTCAATTTGTAGTACCTGAGGGGCCTACTTCGAACCAGCTGGCTTTCTCTTTCGAGAGTCCCCATACCGCGGCTCCGTAACAGGAGCAGGGGTTCAGACGACAAACAGAACGCCACGGAGTCCGTCGCGTCATCCTGGGAAATCTGGTAGCGAGATTTGGTTTGACGGGACGCCATGGCGGCGGACGTTCACGCATCAGAGCGTCCCGTCACGTCATCCCATTGGTGAAGCAAGAAATGATACAAAAGTGTTGATGCGGGTTTAAGCAACATGCTTCGCGTGTTACTTCCGTCACTCTCGCTCTACTTGCGAGCAACCGTCCCATCATCCTGCAATCCGGCTCGAGAACGCCAAGTTGTGCTATCATCGCGAAACCACTGGCGATAGAGTAACAATATTTGAAAGCACTAGATAAGAAAGTCCGTGTTTAGGATATGACATAGTTCAGGCTGCAGTCACGTCAACTAGCTTGGCACATCACAAGGAAAGATGAGAGAGATTTGCTGTTTCTGAGATCTTGTCTGGGGTTGAGTGGAAGAAATTATGCGTTGGACGGGGAAATTCAGTTCCCACGCAGCTCTGGGGCAATCTAGGGGTTAGGGGGAGGGAAAAGGCCGTTGCCACAGCACACTCGAAGTTGCAAACCTTGGCGAAATCAAGAGTGCTGTCGCAAGCTCAAAGATGCGCAGGCGAAATGCTGTATCACCAGCTTGATTTTTTTCGCGAAGAACTTTTTCGCATTTTCGAATTGAGATGTCAAGGGATACGTGACTGACGTGCAGCGCATGGGAAGGTATCATACAGAATTTGAGTTGCCATATTTGGATATAATGACAACAATTCTTTCTGCATGACCATATGGGCACAGTATTCTGCACAACTAAAAATTTCTTGTGCACAGCCATATGGCCTTCACCGCCAAGAAATTCCAACAGCAATCACAACCACAGACTCTCGGCTAGTTGCTGCCATGTTTTATCACACTCCAATCACGCCTGCACCACCCGTTGCTGGCGGCGCTGGGAGCGCAGGAAGAGAACGGCGAGCAGGAGAGCGAGGAGAGAAGCGATGTAGGCGTTGGTGTCGTCCCTCAGGGCCGCCTTCAATGCTCCCGCCGTGGCCGGGCCAATCTCAGGCAGAACATCCAATGCCTTGGACTGTAGGGGTTGAAGGGGGGGGGGGAGGGAGGCATGGGGAGGGGAGATGGGGAGGGGGAGAAGGTGAGGGAGGGATGGTAAGGGAGAGAAGGGGACTGGAGAACAGAAGGGAAATCGGAGAGGTACTGAATGAGAAAAAGGTAAAAGGGAACAGAGGCAACAGCAAACGGTCAAAGCAGCAAAGGTAGTGGGTCTTCTTAAAGACGACTCACCGCAACAAGATGACTCACTGCAAGAGTAGTAGACACTGCATTGCCTTTTGAGGCGCCTCAAAAGCATTGCTCTCGAACCTTTGTCGCACCCTTATCTTAAGCCCACCTATTCAAAGAAGACCCACTGCAGGAGGGCCGTGCCCACAAACCTTTATCGGACTAGATCTTATGGGCCTCATTTAAAGCCCACCAATCTGAACCAGCAAAGCAAACTCACCACAAGAGGGTAATGGCCGTAGTGCATGCGAAGCCAGAGGCCCAAGAGGGCGAATTTGATACGTCTCAAAGCTCAACTTGTATCACGTGGCTAAGCCCACGACACTGTGAGACTCACCACAAGAGGGTAATGGCCAAACAGCATGCGCAGCCAGAGACCGAAGAGGGCGATTCTCACCGGCACCACTGCCCGGGGAAAGGCGTCCAGCACCTGGGAATGTGGACACAGAGGGCGGAGGGGAAGGTGGGCATAGAATCGCTTAGCCAAGTGCAGGTCCCTCAGTAGCCCCATGCCGTGCTCGTGCTCGTGCATGAAGCCCAGGCTGAACATGGCGTGTGCACTTCCCCATATACTCCCCACACTGCTGGCATTCCCACACTGCTGGCATTCCCACACTGCTGGCATTCCCACACTGCTGGCATTCCCACACTGCTGGCATTCCCACACTGCTGGCATTCCCACTATGCTCCGCCCCACAAACACACCTGGTCATAGAACCGTTTGGCTAGATGCAGGTCCCTCAGTAGCCCCATGCCATGTTTGTGCATGAAGCCCAGGTTGAACATGGCGTGTGCACTGCCGCTTATGCTCTCAGTCCCACCATCCTCCCAGACACAACCACAAATGCCCATGAAAGCCCACACCTGATCATAGAAGCGCTTGGCTAGATGCAGGTCCCTGGGTAAGCCCATGCCGTGCTCGTGCATGAAGCCCAGGTTGAACATGGCGTGTGCACTGCCCTTCTCCCTCGCCCTCCAATACGCCTCTGCCGCTCGCTGCAGGTCCCGCTGTTGGCCCTGTGGGATGAGTGGATGGGTGGGAGTGACAGTTCACAATCAGACACACGAATGGAAAAAAGCATCACCCCCCAGCAATGCTGCCTGCACGCTGCCCAGCCCTGCTGCGAGCTGAAGCGGCTCCAAGTGTGAGTGAGGAAGCAAGCATATAAGTAAGGACTCACCTGGCCATAAAAGAAAGCATCCCCCAGCAACAGCGCCGCCTGCACGCTGCCCTGCTCTGCTGCGAGCAGCTCACTTCCTCCGTGCAACAACTGTGGGTGCACCGTGCACAGTGCCTCTTTTGAGTCAACTCAAAAATCTCAACTCAGGTCAGCAGACTCACTCACCCGGCCATAGAAGAAAGCATCCCCCAGTAGCAATGCTGCCTGCACGCTGCCCTGCTCTGCTGCCAGCTGCCACAGCTGCAAGTGTGAACAAGTAAGCATATACAGCAGGGACTCACCCGGCCATAAAAGAAGGCATCTCCCAGCAGCAGTGCTGCCTGCACGCTGCCCTGCTCTGCTGCCAGCTGCCACAGCCGGTGTGACCTCTCATGCCTCTCTGCCTCACTGCACCGCCTCCAACCCCTCCTGCTTGCACCTCCCCCGCCACTGCTAGCCCCACTGCCGCCAGTGACACTATTCTTGCCCCTCTCCTGCTGCTCCTGCTGTTCTCTCTGCTCCTGCTCCTCCTGCTGCTCCTCCGCTCTGCCTCCCTCCCTTTGCACGCCACCACCTTGAGATTCATCCCCTTGAGACGCTTCCCCACCTGCAGCAGCCGCCTCTACACTACTCGACCCCTCTCCACCACTTGCTGATCCCTCCCCACCCACTGCGTTGTTCTCATCTGTTGCAACCCCATCTGTAGCTTCTGTGTCCTTCTGAACTGCTTCAGGTGATGCAGATGAAGGGGATGATGATGAAGCGGCAGTGGCGCGAGGAGCAACCACACACGCATTGTCCAGCACTGAGTCACCCACCACCTGCTTTGATGGCGCAATCGATGGGGAGAGCAGGGATCAGGATGGTGGTATGGGGAGATGAAGGTAAATGAGGAGATGAAGTGGTGGTGGGGTTGCTGGTGGTGCTGCTGCGAGGAGCACCCACACACGCATTGTCCAGCACCAAGTCACCCACCACCTGGAAAGGAAGGGGGGGAAGGGGGAGAAGGGGGGGAAGGGGGGAAAGCTGATCACCACATGCACCAATGGTGGATGGGGTTGCAGTCAGGATGGGCTTTTGAGAGCATCAGAGGATTCTTGCGGCGTGGGCATGCCTCTCATGCCTTTTGAGTCGTGCCTTGAGACGTCTCAAAACACCCTTTTGAGTCGTGCCCATCCTGACGGCACCCCCATCCACACATACACCACCGTGGGCTTTTCTATTCAAAAAGCAACAGAGACATGCCCACGCCGCAAGAAGCACAGTAGGAAACGCTCCGACACAACTGTGCTACGCGGCACCACACAAAGAGAGTGTGGTGAGACGCACACACCCAACTCCGTCACAAGAAGCACAGTAGGAAACGCTCACTCTCATTGTGAACAAAGAGTGTGGTGAGACGCACACACCCAACTCCGTCGCAAGAAGCACAGTAGGAAACGCTCACTCTAACAGTGAACAAAGAGAGTGTGGTGAGACGCACACACCCAACTCCGTCGCAAGAAGCACAGTAGGAAACGCTCACTCTCACTGTGAACAAAGAGAGTGTGGTGAGACGCACACACCCAACTTATCCAGCAGCCTTGCCGCGTTCCCCTGTGCCACTTCATACCCCAACTCCGCTGCTCTCGAGTAGAGCATCAGCGATGTGCCCACATCACACGATGCAGGCCACGAGGATGGAGAGGAGGAAGACGAGGAGGAGGAGGAGCGGAGGGAGGAGGGGGAGAGCGGGGAGGAGAGGGAGAAGGAGAAGGAGAGGGAGAAAGGAGAGGAGGAGGAGGCGGAGCGGGAGAGGGACCAGAGGGAGGGGCCGTGGGTGGATGACATGAAGCATGCGTGCGCCCAGCGCAGCATCACTCCCCATGGGCCTCGCTCTGCCACTGCTTTTAGGAGGCGCGCGGCCTGGAAGATGAGGGAATGAAGGAGGGAGGGAAAAGGGAGCGGAAAGGAGAAGAAGGAAGAGCACAGGAGAAGAAACGGAAAACATGGGTGAGGTGGGAACAGTGGAATGACAGGAGAGGGATGGTAGCAGAGCAGCCAGAGAGACCAGAGGCAGAGGGAGGGGCCTTGGGTGGATGACATGGAGCATGCGTGTGCCCACCGCAGCATCACTCCCCATGCTCCCCATGCATCACTCGAAAGGGGCTTCACATAAACCCATCCCAGCGCAGCATGACCCCCCATGGACCCCGCTCTGCCACCGCCTTGAGTAGACTTTTGAGTCGACTTTTACTTTTGAGTCGACTCAAAAGTCACCCCGCTCTGCCACCGCCTTGAGTAGCCATGCAGCCTGGGAGGGAAGGAAAGGAGAGAGGGAGAGGAGAGGAAGGGAGAGGCAGTGAAGAAAGGGAGAAACGAGGAGGAATGAGCGCTGGGATGGGTCAATTTTTGAGGCGACTCAAAGATTGAGCGCTGGGACGGGAGTCGCGGCAGGCAGATCCCATGATAACGTATTAGGATCTGGGAGTCGCGGCAGGCAGATCCCATGATAACGTATTAGGATCTGGGAGTCGCGGCAGGCAGATCCCATGATAACGTATTAGGATCTGGGAGTAGCGTTGCGATACTGTAAGTCCGTTGATTGAATCACGCGTTTTGTGTCACACCAGGCCACCCCACGCCATTGCCCCATCTCACCATGTTCACTATCCCACGTTCTTAGGAACGCCAGTCCCAGTGAGGTGCATCCTTCCCGTCTGGTACATACATACATGGCCCCTCACGCTATACTGTCTATCTTTCCCCTCTACTCTTCTGATGCGCCTAACTCACTCCCCCATCTCACCATTACCACATTCTTGGAGACGCCCGTGCTTCCAGCCTGGTGCATCTTGCCCGTCTGATACATGGCTCCCACGTGCTGCCCCTCCCCTTCCCCTCACATCCTTCAGACGTGCCAAACGTACTCCCCCATCTCACCATTACCACATTCTTGGAGACGCCCGTGCTTCCAGCCTGGTGCATCTTGCCCGTCTGATACATGGCTCCCACGTGCTGCCCCTCCCCTTCCCCTCACATCCTTCAGACGTGCCAAACGTATTCCCCCATCTCACCATGACCACGTTCTTGGGAACGCCAGTGCCAGCCAGGTGCATCTTGCCCATCTGGTTACATGGCCCCCACGTGCTGCCCCTCCCCTCCACCACCTGCTGCAGGAACTGCAGCGTCGCAACCAGTGCCGAAAGTTCCCTTGAAGAGCACACCCTTTAAAAGCAAACCCTGTATGAGCATACCAGCGTTCCCACGTCTCACCATTACTACATTCTTGGGGACGCCAGTGCCAGTCAAATGCATTTTACCCATCTGATACATGGCCCCCACGTGCTGCCCCTCCACCGCCTGCTGCAGGAACTGCAGCGCCTTGTTGGGGTTGCGCCTCACGCCCTGCCCTCTAAGGTGGCTCATGCCCAGATTGTACAACGCGTCCACGTCCCTGGTCTTCCGGGCGGCTGTCAGGAAGTTTTGCACCGCCTGCAGAGAGGGAGGTGATAGGGTGGTGCGGAGCGGAGAGGGGAAGGGAGGAGAGGAAGGAAATGAACTTGTGGCATTGCAACAGCAGCAGCAGCAGCAGCAGCAACCCGTGCTGCTGTTGCACCCTCCGCGGCCAGCTGCAGGAACTGTAGCGCCTTTCTAGGGTTGCGCCTCACGCCATGCCCCCTCAGATGGCTCATTCCCAGATTGTACAACAACGCGTCCACGTCCCTGGTTTTGCGAGCAGCTGTGCGAAAGTTTTGGACAGCCTGGGGGCAGGGAGAGGAGAGAGAGAAGGGAGGAAAGGGGGAGCGGAGGAAAGTAGAGGATTCTGGAGCAAGGAGAGAGGATGACCCCACAGACGTCTCAAAACACCCCCACACTCGCTTTAACACGCACCAGACACATACACACACCCACCTTGTGGTAGTCCTGAGGCACACCCAGCCCCTTGGCTTGCAGATAACCCACTCTGTTGAGCGCGCTCACAAGCCCATCCCACCGCGTCAGTGGTGATAGTCACCGCATCACACCACCCACCTTGTGGTAGTCCTGGGCTGGGGCACACCCAGCCTCTTGGCGTGCAGATACCCCGCTCCGTTCAATGCGCTCAGGAGCCCTCTGAAGCACCTGTGTGGTGGCATGACAAGGTGACTTTTGAGTCGACTCAAAAGCCCTCTGGCACACTTATCCTCTTCAGTACCTTGTGGTAGTCCTGAGGAACCCCCAGCCCTTTAGCGTGCAGGTACCCCACTCCGTTGAGCGCGCTCACGTGCCCGCGTGCATAGGCCTTGTTGAACCACGCCATTGCCTCGGTCGGGTTGGCCTTCACACCCACTCCGTGTGTGAGCATCTCACCCAGCGTCAGCATGGCCTGTTGAGAGTGAGTTTGATGGGGTTGAATGAACAGAGGGGTGAAGGTGGGTCAGGTCGTGCATAGGCCTTGTGGAACCACCCCATTGCCTCCACGGGGTTGGCCTTACAACCCACGCCGCGTGTGAGCATCTCGCCAAGAGTCAGCATGGCCTGTTGGGGGTGAGTGGAATCACAGAGGGTTGGATCAAGAGAGAGGGTGAGAGGGTGAGAGAGAGAGAGAGAGCCCGCGTGCATAGGCCTTGTTGAGCCACGCCATGGCCTCGGTCGGGTTGGCCTTCATCCCCACTCCGTGTGTGAGCATCTCACCGAGCGTCAACATGGCCTGTTGGGGGTAGTGAGTGAGAGGGTTGAACAGAGGGGAGGGAGAGGGGGGTTGGCAGAGGGTGAGTGAGAGAGCCCACGGACAGGATGAAATAGATATCGGCATCCTGTCCGTGGGCTCTCACGGAAACGGCATACATGATGTTGCTTGCAGGGTGTTTTTGAAAATTCTCTTTTTGAGGCGCCTCAAAAATCCCCTGCAACAAAATAGATATTGGCATCCTGTCTGTGGGCTCTCACGGAAACGGCATACATGATGTCTTAACGGTTGCCATGAATGTTGCAGGGCATTTTTGAGAATTCTAAAAAGAAAAAAAAAAAGAAAGAAAGAAAAAAAAAAACCATGAACAGGATGAAATAGATATTGGCATACATGATGTGATGCCATGAATGTCACATGAATTATGGTATGATGCCATGATGCCATGATGCCATGATGCCATGATGGTATGATGCCATGATGCCATGATGGTATGATGCCATGATGCCATGATGGTATGATGCCATGATGGTATGATGCCATGATGCCATGATGGTATGATGCCATGATGCCATGATGGTATGATGCCATGATGCCATGATGGTATGATGCCATGATGCCATGATGGTATGATGCCATGATGCCATGATGGTATGATGCCATGATGCCATGATGGTATGATGCCATGATGCCATGATGGTATGATGCCATGATGCCATGTAACGCCTTGCTGATTTATCCTCTCTCTCCTCTCTCCTCCCTCCAGCTCTCCTCCCTGTCTTCTCCCCCACTCACATGGGGGTCGTCCATCTCAGCTGCTTTCTTCATCAGCCCAAACGCCCTCACGTGGTCCCGCGGCATGCCCCGTGCCCCCCAGTAGTACAGCGTGCCCAGCGTGCGAATCGCCTCCACCGCTCCCCTTGATGCCTGCAACTCGATGAACTGGGGTGGGGAGGCGGAAGGAGGTATGGGGGGGGGGGGGGGGGGGGGAGGGGGAGTTGGAATCCCGCGGCATGCCCCACGCTGCGCACCCCAGCATGCCCAGCGTGCCCAGCGTGCGAATGGCCTCCACTGCTCTGCATGACGCCTGTACCTTGATGACGCCAACACAACACCCTAGAATCCTTCACGAATCACAACCACTCAAAACCGTCGATTCCACTCACCTCAATGGCTTCATCCGCCTTTCCCTTGTGCCCTCTCGTCGCCTCCAGGCTCTCCTCCCCACCAGCGCTCAGATGCACTGTCTCTATCAGCGGCGCATGCCCACCCTACTAACACACCCTACCAACCCCCACGGCCCCCACGGCCCCCACAGCCCCCACAACGACTCAAACGCCATTGCCTTGCACTCACCTGAATGGTTTCATCCGCCTCTCCCCTGTGTCCTCTGGTCGCCTCCAAACTCTCCTCCCCTCCCGCGCTCAGGTGAACCGTCTCTATAAGTGGCGCCTGCCCGGGGAGGCTGTTGACCGCCATTGACTTGGCTGCCACGTCAGCGTAAAGCGCCGCGGCGCGCTCGAACTCCTGCTGGCGGAGGTGCGAGAAGGCGAGGGCCATCTTGGAATGCACACTGCCTCCACTCGCGGCGAACGTGTGGTGGAGGAACGCTTTCACCTGGAAGAGGAGGGTATGGGAGGGGTAGGGAGGGGTTGCAAAGGGTAAAGAGGTGCTGAGTTACCCCAGATGAGACATCTCGCCCCCCCTACTACATGTCATCCCCTTCCGCGCTCAAACTCCTGCTGGCGGAGGTGCGAGAAGGCGAGGGCCATCTTGGAACGCACACTGCCACCACTCGCGGCAAACGTGTGGTGGAGGAACGCTTTCACCTGGAGGGGGAATGTTTAGGGATGGGTAGGGGTGGGTGGGGACGGGTAGGAAGGGGTTGGGAAGGGTAAAAAGTGGTGGTGAGAAAACCTAGCAGGAACATTCCGCCCCGCCTACCACCATGGCATCTCCATCTCAAGCTCGAGCGCCCAATCTCAAACTCCTACTGGCGGAGGTGCGAGAAGACCAAGGCCATCTTGGAGTGCTCACCGCCTCCACTCACGGCGAACGTGTGGTGGAGAAACGCTTTCACCTGAAGAGGGAAGGGGGAGGAGGGGGTTAAGGAGGAACAGAGAGGGGTGGGGAGGGGTAGGGAGGGGTAGAGAGGGGTAGGGAGGTGCTGGGATTCCCGAAAAAGTACACTTGGGATCCCCTACTGTCTTGTCCTTCCCCCACCCCCTCTCCCAGCATGGAGCTTCTCCTGCTGGCGGAGGTGCGAGAAGGCAAGGGCCATTTTGGAGTGCACGCTGCCGCCACTCACGGCAAACGTGTGGTGCAGAAACGCTTTCACCTGATTGGTGGAAGGGGGGATACGGGGAGGGACGGAGAGTTGTGGGGAGGGGTAGGGAGGGACGCAGGGTGATGAGGAGGAACCGGGAGGGGTTGGAAGGGATGGGGAGGGGGGTGCTGAGAGTATCATGTTCCATTTTGGATTCCTCCTCTCTCCCCCCCCTGCCTCCCTCTCTCCCTCGCCCTCCTCTGCCTCGCTGTCTCTTCTTCTCCCCCCTTCCGTATCCACCCTCCATGTCCCCCCTTCCGTATCCACCCTCCACGCCCTCCCTTTCCCCCACCTGGTTGAGCGGAACGCCATATCCGCTCGCGTGGAGGAACCCCAGCGCGGAGTGCGCGTGGGGGAAGCCCTTTTCCGCGGAGCGCTCCAGCAGCATAAGCGCCTTGGAAATATCCCGCGCCACTCCCCCGCGCCCCCCCGCGCCCACCAGCCGCTTCACCCCCAGCGCCCACAGCGCCTCCGCGTCCCCTTGCTCCGCGCGCCGGCGAACGTCCGCCAATGGCATCTCCACAGCTGTCCGCCAAGATCCCGGATCTAACGGCTCCTGTTTATACTTCTCCACCAGAGGATCGTCCGCCATTGCCGCTAGCGCCGCCGCCGCCGCCGCTTCCGCCGCTGCTGCAGCCGACTCAGGCGATTTGACTGCTTTAATCGCCTCGCCTCGCTTAGGCTCGCCACTATCCTGCTTCGATTTCTTGGATCCTGCGGCTGTTCCTGTTCCTGCCGAATCTGCTCCCTCTCGCTTCGGATCATCCTCACCGTCCGTTTCCTCCAGATCATCGTCGTCGTCGTCCCAATCGTCGTCGCCCGTTTTGATCACGTACGTCTTGCCGTTTTTCCTGATGAATGTGATCTTAGCGGAGCGAGCGACGGTCGCGAAGAGCAGGAGTAGCACGAGAAGAAACAGCACGAGCGACAAGGACGACGAGCCCCGTCTCGTTCGCGAAACGCTGGTAACCAGACGAGCCATCGCCGACAGTCTTTACCCCACCAACGGCGAACCGCGAATTCAGACACTGCGATTGGGCCCTAGCCCCAGGATAATAAACTTTACAAGGACAGACGCATCAGGGCACTGTCACTCCTAGGAACAAGAAAAATTGCACCAGCGAGAGCTCCGCTTCAGAACAATCCCCGCTCTCTTGGAAAAACACAGAACTTCCACGTGAGCTTCTAAAAGGAAGAGACCCTGTTTGGAAGCCATGGTGCATGGCAGAGTCGGGATTTGTAGGTGGACGGGTGCTGCCGAACTCCAAACTTCAGAAAGGTCTCACACGGTACTCTGAGCTTGAGTCAGCTTATCCTCCGATGCAGTACGGTAACCGTTCGAAATTGAACAAGCACGAATCGCAAATCGCGAGTCACTTGAAATCTGGGCGCACTGAGCCAGAAGGCGAAGAGCCAGTTGCCGGCAAGCAGACGGCCAGCGGTTGGAGGAATGATGTGGAAGTATGCAATGATTGGCCTAGTGTTGACGATGACTGCGAGAGTGCGAGAGGTGGCCACGAAAGGTAATTTCTTCTGCAAACAAAACAAAACCGTCTGTCTGAACCCGGAATCGAACCGGAGACCTCCAGTGTGTGAGACTGGCGTGATAACCGACTACACCATCCAAACATGCCAGAAAGCAGCCATTTTAAATTTCGATAATTATGGTTTCTGCTCACGGACCGCAACTTTCAGGAGCTAGTCGTAGCAGTTCGTCGCAGCAACAATGGCTTCCCCCATGCGATCTCTCGCGTCAGCCTTCAGTCGCCGCCTCGTCGGCCCTCAAGCATCGGCTCTCTCGCTTCGAGGAGGCGCGGGAGCGCGACTCGGCTTCGGACGTCCACCCACTTCCGAGGCACGTTCTTCTGCTTATCTCCCGAACTCGCCCAGACTCGCCCAGACTCGCGCGTCTATAAACCCCGTCTCCTTGAATTAACGTTCCTGGCGCGACTTTTCAGTCGACTCTAAAGCCACCTCTGTCGCCGCAATAATCGTTGCATTCTATGGCGGACGGAAGTCTAGACGATCCCCGATGTCCGATGGCCGATGAGCGATGACTGATGATTGATTCCCGATGACCGATCGCCGATAACCCGCTGAATCACCCTTTCCGTGTCTCTATACCCGTCATTGTTCCCTGAAAAAGTCTTCAATTTTCCGGATCGTGTACTCGCGTTTCTTGACGCTTGGCTCCCTGGATCATCTCGCGTCGCGTGTCGCGGTATTGCGGTGTCGCACGCAAGACAAGACTTCCAAAACCGTTTCATTCTCCTCCTCCCACGCTCTTCCAACATTTTCCTCACCCTCACTAACATCTTTTCTCCCGGTATCTTGTTCAGCGAATCCCCACTCTCTTCATTCCCGTGGTTCATTCCCGCCCGCCTCTTTCCCGTCGTAGTCGCGCCCGCCCTACCTCTCTCCTTCCTGCCGCTCCCCCTCCCTGCCTCTCCGTCTCCGTTATGACGGCACGCCCAACCCCAAGCACTCACCGTCCCCCGAGCCTTCTCACAGCACATGCTCTTTGTCCCTGCCTCTCCGTCCCCAGTGCAGCTACCAGAGAGCGACGAGCTGACGTGGTACGACGGCACGCCCGTTCTGCCCACCTCCTCTGTTGCCTCTCTCACATCCCGCTCCCCCCCCCCCTCTGTTGCGAAGAGCTCCTCTGTTGCCCAGCTCTTCCTTGCAGCTACCAGAGAGCGATGAGCTGACATGGTATGACGGCACGCCCAACCAGCCTTTTTCCCCCCTCCTTGCCTCTCCTCTCTCGCTGCCTCTCTGCCTTATTGCAGCTACCAGAGAGCGATGAGCTGACGTGGTATGATGGCACGCCCAACCCTGAGACGGCTACAGACACCATCCTGCCGAACCTGCCGTCTGTGAGTCGCCCCTGCCGTCTGTGAGTCGCCCCTGCCGTCTGTGAGTCTCCCCTGCCGTCTGTGAGTCTCCCCTGCCGTCTGTCCGTCTTCCCTTCCCCAACCCCATCTTTTGATCCGTCTCAAAAGACGGCACGCCCAACCCTGAGACGGCTACAGACACCATCCTACCGAACCTGCCGTCTGTGAGTCGCCCCTTCCCCAACCCCGTCTTTCAAGGCGCGTAAAAACCCCATATTTTGAGCCATCGCAAAAGACAGCACGCACAACCCCAAGCCGGCTACAGACGCCATCCTGCTGTCCCTGCCGTCTGTGAGTCGCCCCTGCCGTCTGTGAGTCGCCCCTGCCATCTGTGCGCCCATCTTCCCTGCCATCTCTGCGCCCATCTTCCCTGCCATCTGTGCGCCCATCTTCCCTGCCATCTCTGCGCCCCTCTTGCCTGTCATCTGTCGTCCCATTTCCATCAATCCCCAATACTTTCCGCCCTCTCCCCCCTCCCCTTTCCTCTCCTCTCTCCCCTCTCCTCTCACTCCTCGTCCTCATCTCCATCAGACCGCGGAGCTGCAGTGGCTAGCAGCAGGGCTGTCAGTGTTTGCCCTCGTGGGTCTTGCTGCAGTGGTCAACGACAAGCCCTCTCGAGTCCCTTGGGTTTGCCCTCCGTTTGGAACCATTGCCTCACTCTTTCTTCCCTCCCCTCTCCCTTCTCCTCTCCTCTATCCTCATCCCAACCACCACAGACCACAGCACTGCAGTGGCTAGCAGCAGGGCTGTCAGTGTTTGCCCTCGTGGGTCTTGCTGCAGTGGTCAACGACAAGCCCTCTCGAGTCCCTTGGGTTTGCCCTCCGTTTGGAACCATTGCCTCACTCTTTCTTCCCTCCCCTCTCCCTTCTCCTCTCCTCTATCCTCATCCCAACCACCACAGACCACAGCACTGCAGTGGCTAGCAGCAGGGCTGTCAGTGTTTGCCCTCGTGGGTCTTGCTGCAGTGGTCAACGACAAGCCCTCTCGAGTCCCTTGGGTACGTGCTCCCAACTTAATAACCACATTATAGTGACAATATAGAGTAACAAGATTCAAGGCGTTCAATCCCCTGGGAACGTGCTCCTGAGCTTCACACTCCAATTTTTGTGCCTACATCGTACTCTAGTTTTTTCCCTTCTTATTTCTGTTCGTTTCCTCCCGTTGTTATAGATTCCTGCCATTTCCACCGCCTCTCCTGGCTCCCTGTAAGTTCCCTTGGATAAGACATACATGAGATGCTCCCTCACACTTCCCCACCCGCCCTACAGGCTCCCCGTGAGTTCCCGTATGACGATGGGCTTCCTGAATGCACCAAGGACAAGCTGCCCGCCTAACTCTCAACAGAACACCAGCACCTGCTATTCCCACCTACCTGATCATGCATACGATCAATCAATCCCATCATGCCTGCTACTTCCACCCCAGCCGTCAATGCTGAGTTTGTGATGTCATTTCTGTTGACTGCCATGCCATGGCATAGTGGTTTTGTCTTCCATTCAACCTGCAATAATTTACCAGGATTGGCATTTCGATTGTACCATATCTTGACTGTAGTTGCCCATTCATGTCCTTGTTTTAATCACAAGCCTGTTAGAGAAACTTTCAATCCTAATTGAATGGTGACTTGAATTGAAAATATTGTGCTCCCATCAAAATGCACAAGAAAAAACATACGTCTAAATGACAGTCTAAATAACACATCAACTATCAGCAACTTTCAATAAATGCTATGGGCAAGGCAGGGTGTTGTTAGGCCTCAAAGGGGGCAAATACGACCACCGAGTTGTGACCTCCAAAGCCAAACGAGTTGGAAATGCCTGAAGCGTAACAGTCAATGGAAGGACAGCGAGTGGGAAGCGAGGGGAAGGGGAGAGGAGGGCGAGAGGGGGGGAGAGGGGGAAGGGGAGAGGAGGGCGAGGGGGGGGAGTGGGGTAAGGAAGGTGGTGTTGAATGACAAAAGTACATCCAAAACAGGTTGCAGATCCTAACAAGGTTCAGAGGGTGTGAACTGGAACTCCACCACGACAACAGACGTGGATGCATGCATGCACCGTTGTGCAGAACGAGGTGCCTTTTCAGTCGACTCATAAGCCACCTCATGATGTTAACAAGGTTCTGAAAAAAGCGACCAGGCGTTCCACCACGATAGTAGACATGCATGTATGCATGCACCGTTGTGCAGAACGAGGTGCCTTTCAACTCACCAACGTTCACTTTATGCTCCTTCTTCACATTCGCCACCGTGTCAAAGGTGACCGACTCCTCCAGGTCCTGTTACAAAAAAAGCAAGAATAAAAACATGTCAAAATATAAACATATACAAATGCACATTTATAACACAAACAGATTGAAAAGTTGTGTAGGACAAGTCTTCATGCGAGACAAATCGAGCACTCGCAGAATCAACTCAAATAAAACTAACGAATTGGTTGATGGTGGGGTGCAGCCATCCCGTCTCAATCGCCTTGATCACCGCGATCGCCTCCAGCCCTCCAGCAGCGCCCAGACAGTGACCAATCATGGACTGCCACGTGTACAGGAGAGATGACGTGGGAAGGGTAGAAAAACAAGTCCACTCATGTGCTCAACTTGAGAACCTTATCGACATTCATGCAACTTGTTTTAGAGTACAACTTCCAAGTATACTCGCTTATAACGTGCTTCACTAAGCGGACTCCCACTGACCTTGGTGCCATTGAGCTTGATCTCGCTGGTATCCTTGAACACCTTTTTGATCGGAGTATATGCACCATCTATGTTTATACTCGCTATGAAGTGTTCCACTACTCACCTTGGTGCCGTTGAGCTTGATCTGGCTGGTATCCTTGAACACCTTTTTGATCGGAGTGTATGCACCATCTATGTTTATTATACTCGCTATGAAGTGTTCCACTACTCACCTTGGTGCCATTGAGCTTGATCTCGCTGGTATCCTTGAACACCTTTTTTATCGCGTTCACCTCCGCCACATCACCCACAATGGTGGACGTGGCATGGCAGTTGATGTAGTTCACCTGGGTGGGGACAGGGAGGGAGGTAGGGGAAGAAGAGGCATGGAGGAGATGGGGGAAGGGGGACGCATTCACGC